TGAACCATGTAGCCCTGGGGTCACTGCTTTCTCTTGCCTCCACCTCCCTACCTGTGAAAAGGGAGTATTGACTCCAGGGGCTCCACACGGTCCCTGACCAATGCTTTTGAGAAACCCATCTGGAAGGTACTTGGGAAGAGCAGGGGATGGTTTTAAATTCATTAATATTTTATTTGACCCTCATCATGAAAGCCACAGGGGACTCATCCAGCATTAACTCCCACACACAACAATTCATTAACTGAGACCTCCTCTTAATACAAAACTAGCTCACGATGGTTTATAACTGACCTAATGGAGGCAGAGCACTCTCCTATGTTTTTCAGCCTTGCACTTCTGTCCTGTTTTGGCCTTTGGTTGCTCATTCAGCCAGTTACACCGATTCTATCCTAAACAAGCATCTGGAATTGATGTTTCTTACACAAAACAAGCACTGCAAGTAAGGAGATCCTAATTTAACTCAACTTCAGCATGTGCCATGCAGGCAACCTTCAAGTCTTAGCTCAGCTCTGAACACACAGATGTAGCAAGGGCATGTTACCAGTATGTCACCCTCAACTCTACATTCAACAGGGCAGCCACCCACACCTCTCACACCAAAGGACCAAACACCATCGTGCAGCACACGGGTCTCACTTCAGCTTTCCAGCAACCCTGTAATGACAAATGGGGTCTTCTTTACAGGGAAGCAACTCAAAGAAATAGTTATGCAGTCAACCACATACTGGAACACCCCCTTTTAGAAAAAATACCAACTCAGTACTTATGTCAACCACTAAATGTGAAGTGCCAAACAAAGCCAGAAACAACTGGGTATGTTTCAGTAGACATAATTAACCACAGGGGCAGAAGTTTCTATTGCTTAGAAGAGGAAGACTTTTCTAAAACATACAACAGGACTGACACACACCTTAGCAGGCTCAGTACAGCAACTGCTGTGTCAGGGCCCAGGTGAAGGGACTGTAACACTGCCTTCTAATTTTAATATATATGAAATAAAAGCTTGCAACGTGAGCCTTGGCAATTAACAAAGTTCCACCTAACACTTCCCACCATTGAAGATCCCTGTGAATGTCTTAGGAGTTCTTTGGGCTCTGCAGTTTTGGAAAGGAAATGAGACATTTGGCATGGCTGCTGTCGAAGGGATAACCTTTTCCTGGCCCTGCAAAGCCACGTACAGGTTTGATTGAGTTACGAGGCATTGTAAACTGCTATTTTTTGTTTGCATTTCATACCACCCAGCTTGTTTTGGCTTCCTGCCCAAACCCCTCCATATTCTCATGTAAGCCCTGTTACAGTCTCCCGTGAGCCACACACACTGAACTGGCCGCCCCACATGGGATCCAAAATGGATCCCGCTCTT